GGGCAGCCGCGTCGCACGCTGCCCGAAACACTCCGAGCAACGATCGGCTTGCTCCTGCTGCCTTGGCTCGGAGATCACCGGGGGAGAATAACGCTTTAAAATACCGCTCTGGTACCGGCTTGGTGTCGGGGCGCGCCTGTATCGCACAAGCTACTCTCCAGGATACATGTACAGCTGGGCTCGAAATTGGTACGAATGACTAAGGTGCCTTTTCCGCTCTTTTTTTCCCTTAAGACTCAGTGTATTAATTTTATTGAGCCTTTCCCCGTTAGGTAAATGCTGCTGTTGTTTTAATTCTATAAATGTAAACTTCTATTTAGTTAATGGAAAATACATCACCACCAAGGTTTAATTATCAGCTTTTTAAATGACTCTTTTAGTCAAGTGCACATAATTATGAAATCACAATAGATTTAAAATATAATTCAAATGGATTAAAAAAAGAAAAAACAAATCAGAGAAGTACGTACCATTAAAGCAAATGTCTAAATTGTATTGGTAGGCCAGCTACCGCTCGAGCTAGAGTTTAAATAACATCAGCAGTCTTTGCTATCGGTGTCAAACCACCTCTGTTATTAGGAAAAAGGATTCTTATCAGACGGGATTTAGATGCTGTTATAACTGCAAAATCTAATTATTTTTGATCCAGGCATTTACCCCCAGAGTCCCACCTTGTTTAAATAAAGTGTTTTCTTTCCTCTTGAACAAATGCATTTCCATTTGAATTAAATATTGATAATTTGACCTTTTAGTTCCTTTAACTAATCAAAAGGAAAAAAAAAATCCAAATGTAGATCCTAGTGCCTTGCCCTAGTGGGTCTTTCCGCTTGAATAGACACTGAGATTAAATGAGTCAAACTTCCTCTTTCATTGCACTCTCTTTGCACTAATTGCTTATGCAAAAATGCAGATTTGTATTAATTAGTAACTCCACTGATTAGTTCGGTGGTATTTTCACGTAATAAATCATGCTGCAGACACGATTTTTGGCACATCCCCAGTAGTGGCTCAGGATGCAATAAGTTTTCCATATTAAATAAAATCTTAGCCTAAATCTACCTTTTTGTTGCAGGTACACTGCGTACCACCTGCTGTACGCACCTGCTACGGGAAATTACCTTCTGTCCCTGGCAAGCCTCTTTCCTTTCCTTGATAAAGCAGTCCTCTTCACAGGGTGAGACTTTAAAATGGGAAGCATGAATCACAGAATCAAAGAATGAGAGAAATCTGATGTTATTTTTAACCCTTTCAAATGAATAATGTTCATTTTTAAGGGGGTGAAACCTATGTAAGATACATCAGATGTAGGTTTTTTTTTCTTTTCTTTCCTATGCCCAGCCACGTGATCTCCTTTTACAGCACCATTCACTGCATGCCCAAATTATCATGCATAAAACCTTTTTTTTTTTTTTACATTTCTTTCTCCTTCTTTGAGCTGCAGAGACTGAACTCTTACAAGCATGACACTTGCTAACTGGAGTTCACATCTTAGTCAGGTACAGAGGCCTCAGCAGCAACAAGACTCCACAGTATCCATAATGGTATCTACATAGTACTAAAAACGTTTGCTCATACCGTGAAACCACTATAAAAATCTCTCCAGAGCACACACAGGCTGATGTGTCCAGTAGCTTAGATCTACATCTGAAAAACCTTTCCCAATTCTTTCAAAAATCATCCCAGATAACACCTTTCTTTCTGTTTCCCTCGGACAGCGTTGTCTATACTTCACACCTTTTCTTCAAGCAAGTCAGCATAATGTTTTGGTACAATATGTACCGCAACAAATGTCGACTAGTGCAGTATTTGGAAAAAAGAGTAAGAGGCTCCAAAGGAGTATAAAAGATGATGACACTGGTGTCATTTCCTCATAGGTGACACTTTCTTGGACAGATCCTGAAAAACCTTTGCCTCGCTCCTGCCAAGACTCTCACTCATGTAAGCAGGACTGCTACCACAAACAAACTTGCAGGATCTGGCCTTTGGCCCTCGGTCTAAGCAGTGCAGTGGGGTGGAAGAGCAGCAAACACAGGTGCCAGCAGATTATCCAAAGCTTTGCTGAGATTAAAATCTTGTCTCAATATGAGTTATTGCATATTCTCTAAATAGAAATCTCCTTAGTGGTGGCTTTAAAAGGTCTGCTTTTGTTTTCCTCTGAGAGAAAATAATGGTTGAACCCCAGGCTACGCACATAATAGCTTACACATTCGTTCCCTGTGGCCATCTGATCTGAACATTTTGGAAACATTTTGCAGTTCCTAACAAAGATACTGGTTCTGTTTAGTGTCCCTTTCTTGAAGAGAGAAAGCAAAAGTCAAAACGCTTTTACAGGGTTATAAAAAAAAATGATCCTGATTATTTTCAGAACATGGTTACTTTTTTTAGCAATATCCCAAGAACAAAACAAGGAAGGTTAAATCAATGATCCACAGGGATGGAAAAAGAGATTCAAATAATCATTAAATCTTATTACATAATGCGGCTTTGTTTTTACCTCTCAGAGTGAGTTCACACCTGGGTCTGTGCTTTAAGCGCTCCACAGTGAGCTGGGCATGATGAAGAATTGTTTTCCCATCACAGTACAGTGTAACCTGTACAGCTGTAGAACTAAACTAGTCAACTGAAACTCCTGCTAAGCATTTTAAGTGTATATGGGGATATTCTTCATTACATACAGCACAACATTTTGAGTGGTTGCCTTCCTCTGCCATTCCTGTCATCACTCCCATTTTACCCTCACGATTGCCAGTGGTATTTCACATAGTGTAGGAAATGCCCAAGAGCATGTGTCGTCACATGTGACTGCTTTTCAGAGATGGTCCTGGGATGTTAACCATCCCAGCTGCGAGTGTTCTTTCCCCAACACTCCACTGACACATGACGTGTGTCTCAAGGTGGTATCTCAACCTCTTATCCACAAAGGACAGGATGAGCATCAGATAACGCACTTTGCCTTCTTTCGCTCCAGAGGTGCACTGAAGAGATCCATCTTGCCATCCAAGAAGCATCTTTGTTCTACTCTCAGTTGCTGCAGTGTGGTTCGATTGCCCTCCATTGGCTGGGGGCAACCTTAACATTAGCTTAAATGAGTTATGGACATATTAAGGCCCTAGGACTGAGACCAAGCACAACATAGAAATAAATAGCCTGTAATGACATTCCAAGGACTCTCAAAGGCAAGTGTCCATTAAGATAAAAATGATGACTGAAATACAAAATATTTTATCGTAAGTTCTTGTGCAAAATTAACTTTCTGTGATATTTCAGTGGGGAAGGCGCAAGGGTCCAAGCACCCGCCTTGTTCAGGTGCTCAGTGTAGGAGAACTGATGGCCATTGACTTTAAGTAATTGTGGGAGGAGGGTGGACAAGCTAGAAAAAAACAGTAGAGGGGGAATGATCTACACACTGTAGCCTGTCAGGTACCCTTTGGAGGAAGGCTGGCCTTAGTGGAGCTATGGCACGAGCAGTGACACAATAGCTAAGGATGTTCTGGCTGGAGTCATCTTGCAGGGAGAGGTCCTGAACACAGAGCTTTATCCCAAGGCTCTAGGAGAGAAGATTTCTGAGGTGCTGGGGCTGTAGCAGATACGCTTTTCTCATGTGCCCAGGTAGACCATTCGTATTCATCTGTGGTGACTCTTGCCCAGGAAAGCATTGCTCTTTGCTAGTCACCTTCTGAGTCCAGAGAAAAGTACATCCCAAAAACTTGTAGCTCTCTCGTCTGGCTTAGTTCTTCCATTAGAATTTTTTTCTACCGGCTGCTTGGTTTATGTGGCTTTCCAAGAGAGGAGGAACATGCTGGTAAATCATTATTTCCTCCGCATCTGAGCTTCAGTTACATGCCACTATGATAATATAAATATTTACTCATTTTTTCCCTCTTCACCCTTGTAAGAGGATAAAAGCATCTGGCCCTTTGTTAGTAGTTTATTGTCAGTTTGCTAGAGCATCCACTTGTTTATGTTCACTTGTACAAGAACACGTGAATAACCCTCCTCTCCACTGTTTTGCAGAGCACAGTCACTGTTGAAAGTAGGTGTTAAACCTACCCTCCTGACGGGAGTGGACAGTTCTCACCTGATCACTCTTCAGGTGGCTTGCAGAGCTGTGTTTGACAATATGAAGTATAAAGCAGTGGAGAACAAATCTCTGATTTTTGCATTTCTGTACTTTTATCCTGGCACTTCATGCTGTGGTATTCGGCAGAACCTTTTTGGCAACACAGAAAACCTCAAAACCAGCAGCAGGGCAATGGAGAATGAGACCTAGCACCTTTAAAAATTGACTGGAAGCATTAGTGGAAGCAGAAATATAGAGCATACCATTAAGATGTATTTTTTTAAGATCTATTTCAAACTATCATCTGTAATTCTTCTGTATCCATGTCATCTCTAGATAGACTGGTGCTCTGCAAAGCTATCAGTAAATACAAGAACTACATATTCTTTCTGAAATGAATTTAAATTCATTTTGATTTAGAGGGAGAAGTCTCATTTTAAAAAAAAAATCCCTCCAGAATTAAAAAGCAACTGTCAGCTCTTCTTTTTTTTCACTATAGATTCAAGGTTCACAATAGCAAGAACCTCTACCTCTGAGAAATTTGTATTTCAATAATAAGGTATGCTTGAAAAGGATAAAATATAGATATAATTAGAGACCCTTGGCAGTTTCAGTTGGTGTCCGGCATATAATGAAGTTCATAGGTAATTTATAGTCCATTTCTTCTATTATATATCCACAAGTAGTTGTAAGTTTCTTGGATTGCCTTGATTTCAAATTATCTGTTGAAATTCTGAGGTAGCTCATTCAATAGCTGATGTGACCAAGCGCATGTCAGAGCTGTGAACTCTAAGCAGCTGCAGCTGCTGTCCGTCGGCAGCACTGTCGTATTCCCGCCCTTTGATTAAGGGCTTTGTTCTGAGAAAATAAGCCTGAACGTGACAATGTAGGTGCACACGTAACGTCAAGCACGTGAGGGACCTCAGTAGAACTAGTGTGATTACTTACACATCTTCTAGCTCACAAGGCTACAGAGCTAGAAGCAGGGCATTATCTCACCGAGCTTTTGAAATACACAAACACTTCATTTTTGCTGCCTTTTCACGTGCAGTCAGATAAATGTAACAGCTTGTTGCTGCTCAAGGCAGGAGGGCTCATTCCCCCTGCCTCCTTCTCTATTTCTCTCTTCCCTTTGCTCTGGTCCGTGTAGTCGATGGAGCTCTGCTCCATCTCCTCAACCAGATCTGGTGCCTGTGAGACTCAGTTTAGAAAACTCCTCGTCACTGAACAGGTTACATTGGCTCATGGAAGACCTGACAAACA